TTCTTAAGTCCCCAAAACTAAATGTTATATCAAGATAATTTATGGAGATAGTAGATCATGAATAAAATTTGTGTTTTTGCTGCTGTACTTAATTTTTATCTTCACTCATAAGAAAATAGCTAAGTTGGGTTCTAAGTTTTTAGTTCATTGCATAAAGTAGGAATGAGAGCCACAGGAAATACCCATATATGGGTATTTATTGCCTATGGAAGGAGCCCTGGTGGTGCAATTGTTAAGTGCTTGGCTGCTAACCAAAAGGTCGGCAGTTTGAACCCACCAATGGCTCCGAGGGAGAAAAGACCAGCAGTCTGCTTTTGTAAAGATTACAGCCTAGGAAACCATATGGGGTGGTTCTACTGTATCATATGAGGTCACTATGAGTCAGAATCGACTTGAGAGCATACAACAACAACAACAATGACAATATTGCTTATGTATTTTTAGGGTCAAAAATAGAAATTTCCAAGTACCTAGAAAACAATTCCCATGCAACGGATTTTTTTTTTTTAATTTATTTTGGTTCATTTGTTTTTGAGGGAAATGTCAGACAGAGTCACATTAAGTGGTTTGAGATTGCTAAAGACTAAGATGTTGATTAGTTTGCAGAGTTTCTCTATGTGATAGAAAATATGGAACACTCCCAGAAGCAACTCTTCAAAAGCAGAAAGCAACACTTTGGTCTCGGTATACGAATCCATCGTCTGTAGAATGTACTCTGTGAGGGACCTGTCGCTGAATTCCTGAATGACGTCAGTGGGCTATGGCCCAGAGACAACTTAGAGTAATAGAATGAGTAATGGTAATGATAATAACAATGATGATGATTGGCAAAGGAACTATCCCTCCCAGTTCTCCAGCTCCTTGGAAACTTTGGCTAATAGTGAGGAACATGATGGCCTCAGATGTTGGGGGTAGGTAGACACTGGGTTTTGAAGAGGTATGTATGAAAAAGTAGTTTTGCTGATTTCATTTTGCCAAATGCCATCTTTGGTGTTCTGCATAGTTCTGCATAAAATAAGTTAAATACAGCGAAATCAATCAATATGCTGGCTTGGCTGCTAACCTAACCGAAAGGTGAGCAGTTCGAGTCCACCCAGAGGTACCTAGGAAGAAAGGCCTGGAGATCTACTTCTGAAAAATCAGCTATTGAAACCCCTATGTATCACAGTTCTACTCTGACACACATGGAATCACCATGGGTTCGAAATAACTCCATGGAAACTAGTTAGGATATAGTTAGAGATTTGAAACAGGAAAACAATGAACCAGCTTCGGGAGTCTTCAGCACAGATCTAACGTTGGAAAATATGAGTTGATGAGTTCAGCAATGTAAGTGGCCAAAAAAAAAGGAAAGTACAGTGAAAAGATGAAGTTCACAGTTTAAAAAAGGTGGCGATGAGGCAATAAGAAAGCTAGAAATAGCAGTCAAAGAAATATATAGAGAAGAAAGTTTCAATAGTTAGCTGTAAATTTCTATTTGGGGTTTTATTCATTCCTCTATTTTTTCATGCATGACTTGCTGAATTCATGAATAATACTCCACCGGATTTGATATTCATCCTGAATATTTTGATATTTAATTAATATGATATCTATTTAAAAATTATTAAACAAAACAGTGGTCAGTTGAATAAAAAGTCAAGAGTGTTAGATTAAAATGAAAAGTGAGACAAGGCCAATGACTTTTGTAAGAAGAGAGTCCTGGATAATTTATTAGAACAGCTTCAGTTGAGTGCTGAGGTTAGGAGCTGGATTACATAGGAATGGATAGGGACTGACTGGATAAGAAATTAAGGCAGTGAGTTTAGTAAGAGGTTTAAAGAGTTAGATAGCAATGATAAGAGAAAAATGAATGAACCGTGGCAGTACAAAATGATTCTAAATTCAAGAGACCTTTTTTCTTTAAAAAAGTGAAAAAACCCAGAAAAATGAGACATATTCAAAAGTTGAAAAGAAAGGGTCAGTGCAGAAGAAAAAGAATAAAAATACCAGAAAGATAAAAGAAAGCTACAAGAAATAGTAAAATAGTACTTTTTTTTTTTTTTAACTTCCTTCACCGTAAAATTAAAAATAAACAAATAAGGAGCCTTGGGGGCCAATGGTTAAGTGCTTGACTGCTAACAGAAAGGTCAGTGGTTTGAAACTACTCTGCAGAAAAGACATGGTGACCTGCTGCTGTAAAGATCACAGCCTAGGGAACCCTATGGGGCAGTTCTTTTCTGTCCTTTATGGTAGCTATGAGTTGGCATTGACTTGAGGTCACACGGCAACAACAAAAAATTCCTATTATTTTTCTTCTGGTACAAATTACAGAATCCATTTTCCAGACCCTGGTTACTTAGTATTTCAGCAATCTGATATTCTTCTCATTAATCATTTCCTCTCTATGCTATTGCTCTTTCTGTTTAGCACAATATGCTTCAAGAGTCTCCTCTCACTTCAAATCAAATCAAATAAATTCTGTGGTGATGGGAATCCAAGCTCTTCTGTCATACCTTCTTCTTCTGTTGTTCTCTGACCTTCCCATTTTCTTCCAGTCTTTTTTTTTTTTTAACTTTTGGTTTAAGTCTTCAATCTCAAACCTCCGCTTTTCGTTTTTTACTTTTGGTTTAAGTCTTCCATCTCAAACCTCTGCTTTTCCACCTCCAAGTCTTTTATGATGGTTATTCTATACAGAGAAAACACCCTTCTTATTCCATACAGAGAAAACACCCTTCTGGCAGAACAATTGCCATAGCTCTTACTCTCTCTCTCCCTAGATGCTTTTCTTCATTACTCTCATGTATCATCTGTTATTCCAGCCAAATATGCCTCAACAGTGCTGTTCAATGTATCTCAAAAATAATTGAAATCACTACTTCTCATGATGATTACATCTATGCCTAATATCTTTCCTCTTCCTGGTGAGCTTCTTGGGTGGCTGGAAATCCTGCAGAGTTGCTTTGGGGATAAAAATCTATTCAAATAAAAATTGGTATTTACTGAGCATCTGTCTTGAACTAAAATAAGCTTTATTACTTATATTAATTCAGTTAGAGCTTAAAGCTACCACATAATGTAGGGATGTTTATTCTTGTTTTGAGAATAAAAAACTGTTCTGAGAAGTTGTGATTATCCTAGTACCACAGAATTAGTAAGTGATAGAATAGGCCTCCTTTACAGGACCCTTATGTTACAAAGCTTATGTTCTAAAGAGCACTGCAGATTTTAAATTTCTAGCAGTGTGTGGTATTATTATCATAACCATACTATTATGAGTGGTGTTTTTATCCTAAGCATAGAATTCTGGTGAAAATAGTTATTATCTGATTGATAATATTTAAAGTGCACCTCTTTTTTCAAGATCTATGAGGAGAAAATGCATTTTTAATCAATTTTATAAAACTTCACCAAAATTATAATAAATGTGCATGGTTTTATTTTTTTAATACAAAGTATTGTCTATTCCACAATAATAAAACTTTTCAAAAAATAACTACATTTCATATTCATTGAGTCTGATTGCATGTAAAAGAAGCTACTTCCTGTTTTCAAAACAGTAGCATATAGAACACCCACTGTCTACTTATTTAAGACATTGATCTTACACATGTAGCATCTGCACAATATCAATTGAAAATGCACATGCTCCCAAAGATCAAGGCAAAGTAAACTATTAGAACATGGCACCCTGCCCAGTACTGACTGCTTTTCAACTTTCTAGGTACACAAACATTTACAAGTTAATTTCAGAGCAGTGGACACCATTGTTCATGGAGATCACGAACCATGCGGACTACAGAGAAAAATATATCCTCCAGAAGAGTTTGATATCCATGAAACCATGGTCATCGCAGTCACTGTATTGATTCCAAAAAGTAGAAAGCCAGAGAATCTATTGGTTAATAAAAGATTGACAAATCTATTCCAATCCTTAATGTCAAATGTATAAACATAATAAAATTTTATTGTATGTTGTTATGGATTGAATTGTGTCCCTCAAAATAAGTGTTGTAAATCCTAACCCCTATACTTATGGGGCCCTGGTGGTGCAGTGGTTAAGAGCTCGGCTGCGAACCAAAAGGTTGGCAGTTCGAAACCACCAGCTGCTCCTTGGAAACCCTATGGGGCAGTTCTACTCCGTCCTGTAGGGTTGTTAAGAGTCAGAATCGACTCAAAGGCAATGGGTTATACCTGTGGTAATAATCCCAATGGGTTTTCTTTGTTATGTTAATGAGACGGTAATAGTGTAGGGCATGTCTCTTTGAGATATAAAAGGAGCAGATTAAGAAGCAAGAGGCAAGAAAGAGAGATGGTGGAAGATGGATGCCATGCCATATGAAGATCACTGAGGAGCCAAGGAATAAAAGCTGAAGAGACAAGGTCCTTCCCCCAGAGCCCACAGTTAAAGAATACCTTCCCCTAGAGCCAGTGCCCTGAATTTGGACTTCTAGCCTCCTAACTGTGAGAAGGATTCCTGGTGGCCCAGTGGTTTAAGCATTTTGTTGTTAACCAAAATGTCGGCAGTCCGAATCCACCAGCCACTCCTTGGAAACCCTATGGGACAGTTCTACTCTGTCCTGTGGGGTCTCTATGAGTTGAAATCGACTTGACGGCAATGAGTAACTTTGAGAAAATAAATTTCTGTTTATTAAAGCCACCCATTTGTGATATTTCTATTATAGCAACACTAGATAACTAAGGCATATGTATTTAATTTTAGCAAGATATATTTATTAAAATAAAATATATTGGACTGATGGTCTGCTTCTCAGGTTAATGCCATTATTTTAAATTGAATATTGATGATGGGGGGCTGTGTGGCAGAAAGCTTAAGCTGAAAAACAAAGTTGAGAATTCAGGACCTCAGCTGGATAGAGGATATTCAAAATCAGGCTGGGTTGAGGTCAAGAGAAAGTCCACCTCTATGGCTGCCCCTCGAAGAAATGGTTATGAGATCAAACCCATCCCATTGCCACGGAGTCGATTCCGACTCATAGCCACCCAAGGCCAGGACAGTTTTTGGCATTTTAAGGGGTAAGCATCAAGTTCTGAGAAGATATACCTTCTGCCAGATTATCAAAGTACTGATTTTCAACTAGATACTTGTTCCAAGAAATACTCAAGACTTCTGATGATGACTCTGGTTATAGAGCCAGTTCCACTGTCTTGGAGAAGGTTGAAGGGAGGAAGTAATGCAAGTCATCAGGGACCTTTTTGGTAAGTGAGTTGAGAGGGTGCTAATGAAGATTTCCTGTGACACGATGTACAGTCTGTGGCCATATGACTAACTCCAGAATCTCCATATTGGAAGGAACAAGGACCTAGAATATGTTGATCAGGATTGGATAAGAATTTTTCGGGGGGTGTAGGGGAGTGAACCTATAGGTTAAAGGCCTCACAGACTGTAGCTAAACAGGACTGCTAATTGGAAAGAGCCTACATAAATATTTGCTAAATCCCTTTCCTGATTGTGGTAGTATAGTACAGTTGACTGCACACAAAATTTGGATACAAATCGTTCTGTCCTCTGTCACTTGTGTAACTATACCTACTGGTACATAAAAAACACACAATAAATAGTGGGTATTTTGTTTTCATGCTTAACTTTTTCTATAGCATCTTCAGAGCAAGGTCTATAGTGTGTTTTTCTCCTACTGTCAGCTCCCAGTATAGTGCTTGGCACTTAGTGGCATTTAGTGGATGTTCAATGAGAGTTTTATGACTATATACTATCAAATTTATGCTAGACAGAGAACCATTCAGAACAGTAAGGCAATGAAGTCAGTTGGAAAGTCTTTTCCCCAAATCTACCAGCATAAAATATAATGGAGTGGGTTCCTCAAAATGGATATAACTCAGTTGCTTCACACTTGAAAAGAAAACATATATATATGTATAAGTATATACATATATATCATGTTTGTGCTGGCATCTAGCAACTCATTCATTTCTCAGAAGAAGAAAATCAGACCAGAGATGTAACATAAACTTATTATGCTGCTGTTGTGTTTGTGTACTGTCGAGTCAACCCAACTCGTAACAACCCTACGGGACAGAGTAGATCTGTCCCATAGGGTTTCCAAGGAGCAGCTGGTGGATTCGAACTGCCGACCTTTTGGTTAGCAGCCTGAGCTCTTAACCACTTCGCCACCGGGGCTCCAATCTGATTATAGTCCTTGTGAAATTTACAAGTCTCTGGATAGACATATCAGCACTAGAAAAGTAGTAAATGTGGTTTTTTGTTTTTTTTTTTCCAGAAATCAGAACTATGTTAGTGAGTCACAGTTGGTGGTTTTTTCCCTCGGACCTCTTTCTAGGAAAAGTGAATCAACATCCTTATAAGAATATGGCACTAATGCAGGTAAGTCTGTAGAACTGAATGTTACTTGGGTCTTTGGACACATAATGCCTTTCTATAAGCCATCAATTGACCTCCAAACCATAGCCAAACGACTCACCAATGCAAGTGAATGATTTCAGAAAAGGCTAAGTGAGAATAAGCTTGATTCTTTGCCTAGAACATATCATGAGTGATATAAGATTGCCAAGATTTTTAAAGCTTTCTGAAGAAAAGACATCCACCAGTGAAACAGAGATACCTCTAGGCTGAAGCACAGTATTTTCCACTCATGGTATTCAAAGGCACAGAGGAAAAACAAATGTCTAAATCTAAATGGAAATGTCAAAAGGAATGCACTTAGGAAGTAATTACCAAGATTAAGCAAAGTACTTCTTTGGTAGTTTCCATACGTCCCTAGACTGTGCTTGTTGTAATTTCAGTCACTATTTCATCAGAAGGAAGAAGCATGTGGTGATGACACTGAGTAATCTGCAGTGTCATTTATGTGTCTTCAGTGCTTATAAATCTACCCCATTGGTTCTCATTACAGATGAAATGAATTATCCCGAAACAACTCTGTGGGGCACTATTCACACCAAGTAATGTTTAGAGAAAATCATGTTTTGGCCCCTGATGTACTTATTTACACTTCTCAGGATTTGGAGAAAGCAGCCTGTGGCTGTTTGAAATATTTCTTTCTGTATTAACTTTTTTGTTTAATTTAGAAATATTTAAAACATGGGAATTAGCTAAGGGTTTCAAGAGCTGCATAAAATTAAATTAATTTGACCAAATTATTTTGAAATATATACAATTGTAGGTCCTCTTTATAAAGAAGGAATCCTCTGGAGATGGATTAAACAGGAATTTTCAGTAATTCTCTTGAAAGTCTTAAATAGAATATCATTGAAACAGAACACTGAACTTTAAGCCAGTATATCTGAATTTCACTTCTGGTTTCCTACTCAGACTCTTGTATGACCCTGTGCATCTGTCTTCTTAACGTAAATGGGGTAAAAAACCCCCACTTATATCGCTGGGTTTTTATAAGGGTTAAATTTGTCCTATAAAAACTTCACAGCTGATGAGCAAAGTAACCTCTTATTATTAGCACAAAAAATGTGTTATTATAAATTCTGTGGACATGTTCTGCCAATAGGATGTAGGTGATAAACATGTAAAACGCACACACACACAGAAAAAAAAAAAAAACCTGTTACCTCCTCCCTGGTTATATTTAACAATTTATTTTTTTAGGATTTTGGAATCATTTTAAAATTCCTTTATGTATTCCACATTCTTCAAATAGAAGTATAACTAACTTATCTCAGAAAATAATAGTTATATTTTATTAAATTTTATAATACTCTAAGTTAGATACTTCTGTTATCCTTCTTTTATTATGAGGTAACGGGGGCTTAGAATGGTTAAGGAATTTATTATCTGAAGTTTCAGAATTCCCATAGAGTTAACGTAAAGCTTAATCACAAGCTCTGATTCTAAAGCTAATGCATATAAATAGCATACCTATGAAATTAGAGATCTTCAGAAAATAATTTCCACTTTTGTATCTTGAAGTAAAATAAAAAAAAATTGACAGTACTTTGATTTCTTCACTTTTGGTGGTGAAGTGATGATTGAGAATTAGCATCAGAAGGCATTGAACTGAATGCTGATTTTATTGCTTTCTAATTATGTAATTTTGGGATATCTTTATAAACTCTCTAACTCAGTTTCATCATCTCTAAAGTGAGTGAAATAATACATTTCTCCTGACAAAATATAATGTTTACATCATGGATTGTATAGGAGGATTTAGAGGGTGGAGAGGGAAGAAAAAAAAAGGGAAAGTGAGCTGAAGATGTAGACAGGAGTTGGCTTTTGTGGAACATTGTAGACCAGGTTAAAGTTTAATCTTTATCCTGCTTAGTCCTTGGAAGTCATAAGACATAATCATAAGCTCATGTATGAAGAAAGCAAGAGATCAGGAAAGAAAGAAAAGACCAAAATGGATATCAGAGAAGACTCTGAAACTTGCTCTTGAATGTCCAGTAGCTAAAGCAAGTGGAAGAAATGATGAAGTAAAAGAGCTGAACAGAAGATTTCAAACAGCGACTCGAGAAGACAAAGTGAAGTGAAAGAACTGAGGAAAACTTCAAGCCTCCATTTGCAATATTGAAGGATTCTATGGGGAAAATATTAAATGACACAGGAAGCATCCAAAGAGGATGGAAGGAATACACGGAGTCGTTATACCAAAAAGAATTGGTTGATTTTCAACCATTTCAGGAGGTAGCATATATTCAGGAACCAGTGGTACTGAAGGAAGAGGTTAAAGCTACAGTGAAGGCATCAGCAAAAAACAAGTCTCCAGGAACTGACAGAATAACAACTGAGATGTTTCGACAAATAGTTGCAGCGCTGGAAGTGCTCACTTGTCTATGCCAAGAAATTTGGAAGGCAGCTACATGGCCAACCAGCTGGAAGAGATCCATATTTATACCTATTCCCAAGAAAGGTGATACAGCATAATGTGGAAATTTTCAAACAAAATCATTAATATCACACACAAGTAAAATTTTGCTGAAGATCATTTAAAAGCAGTACATTGACAGGGAACTGCCAGAAATTCAAGCCGGATTCAGAAGAGGATGTGGAATGAGCAATACCATTGCTGATGTCAGATGGATCCTGGCTGAAAGCAGAGAATACCAGAAAGATGTTTATCTGTGTTTTATTGACAATGCAAAGGCATTCTATTGTGTGGATCAGAACAAGTTATGGATAACATTGTGAAGGATAGGAATTCCAGAACACTTAATTGTGCTCATGAGGAACCTGTACATAGATCAAGAGGCAGTCATTCCAACAGAACAAGGGGATACTGCATGGTTTAAAGTCAGGAAAGATGTGTCAGGGTTATATCCTTTCACCATACTTATTCAATCTATAAGCAGAGCAAATAATCTGAGAAGCTGGATTATATGAAGAAGAACGGAGCATCAGCATTGGAGGAAGACTCATTAACACTCTGCAATATGCAGATGACAGAACCTTGCTTTCTGAAAGTGAAGAAGACTTGAAGCACTTACTGATGAAGATCAAAGACTATAGCCTTCAGTTTGGATTACACCTCAACATCAAGGAAACAAAAATCCTCACAAATGGACCAATAAGCCACATGATGATAAACAGAGAAAAGATTGAAGCTGTCAAGGATTTCATTTTGCTTGGATCCACAATCAACGCTCATGGAAGCAGCAGTCAAGAAATCAAAAGACACATTGCATTGGGCAAATATGCTGCAAAAGACCTCATTAAAGTGTTGAAAAGCAAAGATGTTACCTTGAAGACTAAGGTGGGCCTGACCCAAGCCATAGTGTTTTCAATCACCTTGTATGTATGGGGAAGCTGGACAATGAGTAAGGAAGATCAAAGAAGAATTGACTCCTTTAAATTATTATGTTGGAGAAGAGTATTGAATATACCGTGGACTGCCAAAGAACGAACAAATCTGTCCTGAAAGAAATACGACCAGAATGCTCCTTAGGAGCAAGGATGGCGAGACTATGTCTCACATACTTTGGACATGTTACCTTGGGGGACCAGTCCCTGGAGAAGGACATCATGCTTGGTAAAGCAGAGGGTCATCAAAAAAGTGGAAGACCCTCAATGAAATGGATTGACACAGTGGCTGCAACAGTGGGCTCAAGCATAACAATGATTGTGAGGATGGCACAGGACTAGGCAGTGTTTTGTTCTGTTGTACATGGGGTCGCTATGAGTCAGAACTGACTCGATGGCACCTAACAACAACAATAACAATCATAAGATATACTTAGATCTGCATTTTAAAAACATAACCCTGACAGCACATATGGAATAAAGAGAGATAAGAGAGGAAAGAGAGAACAATTAGGTCAAGACAATAATGCTGGTGAGAGGTAGTGAGAACTGAAATAGAACTGTCAGACTAGAGATGGAAATGGATCTCCAAATGTGAGAGAATTAAGAAAATTGGCAGCACACAGTGATCAAGGGTAGATAAGGAAGAGAGGTGATGGACTGGTGGAACTAGCGGAAGGGGGATAAAAGGAGGAATAAATCTGGAAAGTAGGAGGACGAGGTGGAATTCAGTTTTGAACATGATTAGTTTCTGGTGGTGATGGACACACAGGTGCTATATTCAAATTTTTTTTGAAATGTAGTCTTGGTGCTCAGTACACAGGACAGGAATGGAGATATAGAATTGGAAACCACCAACAGAAAATGGTGCTGGGAAACATTATAGAATCTCTCAGAGATTCTGATAAAAGAACCAAGGAGAATTACTTGAAAAGATATTGCACAGAAATATACCATACTGGAAGAGGGATTCCACAAGGAGATTGGATAGAAGTGATCATAGAGATAAGTGTAGAATAAAGAGAATTTTTTTTTCTGTTATAAAAGAAGCCAAAGAAGAGTTGTACAACAGTTGCACATGGTCTAGGGGAATTGAGGAAAAAGAATTAGGTCACAGTGAGTTTTGAAAATGGTTTTATTGTATGTTATATGTGAAAGACTAATTATAATGGAATGAAAACAAATGTCAGCTAATTTTTTTTTAAATCATTTTTGTTTATGAAAGTTTTCAAACATTTACAAAGGTAAGAGGTAGTCAACAACTACCAATTCTTTGCCACACTTTAGTCCTTTCTTTAAAGAAGTTTGGAGATGAAGAAAAAAGAATCAAATTAATCAAGTACCAATTTAAAAAAACTTCGAAAACTTTCATAATAAAAAGATTTACATAAACTATATTAATAATATTAAGGATTGTAGGTGGTACAAACAACTTGCACTCAACTACTAACCTAGTAAGGAGCCCTGGTGGCACAATGGTTCGTCAATTTGCTAACTGAATGGTCAGCAATTTGAACCACCAGTGGATCCATGGGAGAAAAGACCTGGAAATCTGCTCCTGTAAAGATTACCTCCTAGAAAGCCTGATGGGGCAGTTCTACTCTGTTCTGTAGGGT